GGAGCTGGCATGGAAGCCACAGGAATGGGCCCAAGCGTCCCAGGACGGGGTGGGACAGACACACGGGGAAGAGGATGGGGCCGAAGGGGTCCCCCGGGTAGCAGCCTCATGCGATGACTGGACGGAGAACCGGGAGAGTGGGCTCTCAGAAGAGAACTTTCCCTGGCACCCGGTATGGCTCCTTGCACCTAGCAGGTGCTTCGTAAATGTCCGCCGAGCGAAGGGCCGACCAAGGCTGATCTCTAACACGAGGAAAGCGCCAGACCAAATGAGAGGCGCAAAAGTTAGGGAGCGAACTTGGAAAAGAACAGCTGCTTTTGGCAAAGGTCTGCTCCAGGAGTGCCAGACACGTTGGCCTGACAGGCGTCAACTGGAGACGGGCTAGCACTTTCCATCCAAATGTGTCAGGCAAGCTGTGACAGACTGCGAAATGGTGACAGACACACGCCGCGGTGCAGCCCCAGCTGTCACGCGGAGGGCAGCCGCCCGTGCGAGGGGAAGGAGGGCGCTGTCGCCCAGACCCTGCGGCCGGAGCAGTGCTCACCACCCCGCCCCCCGTGACGGCCACGGTCAGCAGCCTCCGGCCATTCACGGGCCACTCGTTTGCGGGGGGACCTGCTGAGGGGAGCAGGAGGCAGAGACGGGGACAGCCGTGCAGGGGACGGTGGGACATGATGGTGGAGAAGGGACAGTTCTTGCTGCTCAGTGACACCTAAAAAGAGAAGCAGGAGGAAGAGTTCGTGGACTGGAGAGCATCTGGGCATCGGGACCCGAAGCTGGCCCCCCACCGGGTTGGGGGGGCAAGGTTTCCTCTCTCCTGGGGCCCGTCCTGGCCCTGCAGAAACTGATGTGGGTGCATAGCCATGAGCCTTCCCAAGGTAGAAATGGCGCAGGGAGGGCGCCTGCGTGGCTCAGTCGGCTGGGCGTCTGACTGCGGCTCAGGTCATGATCTCGCCATTCACGGGTTCGAGCCCCGCGTCGGGCTCTGTGCTGACAGCTCAGAGCCTGGAGCCTGCTTCTGATTCTGTCTCCCTCTCTCGCTGCCCCTCCCTCACTCATGCTCTGTGTCTCTCTCTCTCTCTCTCTCAAAAATAAACATTTAAAAAATTATAAAAAAAGAAATGGGCACAGGGAGAATCTGCAGGGAACCAGAGCACCCACCCTGGAAGTGCGGGCCATCACTCGCACGAACCTAACACTGAATGCTCACCTCACCTCGCAGCAGTGATCGAGACAACGCATTCACACCTCCCGCTCTGCCTTTCCCCTTCCTTCCTTCCTCCGCGGCCCTCACCTGCCCTGGAGGAACATGCAGGCAGGTCCTAGGGTGTTTCCTCCTGCTCAGGGGGAACAGATGACCCTTTGGCGCTCAGTCCCTACTCGGTAATGAGACTGTCCCCCGTGACAGTCCCCTACCTGGCATGAACGTTTTCCACTCCTCTCCCTCCCCTGCCAGGGTCCCCGGCTGCTTAGGTTGGAAACCACAGCTGAAGAAGAGGGGACGTGTGGCCGTCCTCTCACCCTGCTCCCCTGCTTCTCAGCCGGACTCCTGGCTCTCCTGCTCCGTCCCTGAGTCCCGGAGGGCAGGGGCGGGTGAGGGCAGAGAGGCGAGAGGGAGTGTGTCAGCTCAGTTCATTGCACCCTCTACCACAGGGTGGACCCTGGGAACGGGACCTCTAAGGGCCACACTGACAGGCCCCCTTGCTCCTTGCCTCTGGTTGTGTTTGGCCGGTGGGAGACCCTAGCAAGAGATTGGAGGGAAGGAGGAAAGTAAGGTTAAGGCATTATTCCCCCAGCTCGTCCCTGTCCTTGGCTGTCTCTCTGTGGCCAGGTGGCCACTCCCTCTCTTTACCCATTCAAGTCCAAGGTCAGGAGCTGCCAGGTGCAGGTAAGATGGTCATCACACAGCTCGGTCAGGCTTCCTGCCCTGCCAGCCGAGGGGATAGGTGAAGCGGACGTTTCTGCCTCTTGAGGCCTTTTCATGGACTCTGCAGAGGCTCCCGGGTTGCCCTTCTCCTATGACCCGGATTCTGGCCAGTCCTCCCAGCTTCTTTCCTCAGCCCCGCACACAGCAGCAGGCCTCCAGCCTCCTGCCTGGGCTCCTCACCCCTCGGGGCAGCCCACATGGACAGCACCCACGACACCCCACATCTGGTCCTTAGCAAAGGCTCGGGCGTCCTGCCCCCAGCCAGCCTTGGGAGAGGGCCACATTCCCCACTCCTGTGGCACAGCTTTTCTCTGCGCCCAGGGGTGATTCTCCCGGCAGGATGGGACTCCGGCCCATCGTGGGCTTCAGGTTTCTCAGGCACGAGTCGGGCACCAGCCTGCGTGTCCCCAGCTTCAGGAAACACTCTTCAAAGCTCCCTGGTGCAATCCTGTGAAGGTCATCTCACGAAGTTTGGGCTACAAAGGAGGAACGCCGAGTCGGAGGCAGAGCTCACAGAAAGGTAACAGCTCCCTCCAAAGACATGTGTTCGTCCTTCTTCACCCCAAAGTCCCCCTGGAAGCCACACTCAGCAGGATCCAAGTGAGGACACGGCACGGGCCCTGCCCAAGGGTCTTAGAGCTCATGACCCCCAAAGACAGCATCCGCCACAAAGCCTTTCTACCCTCACACCTCTTTGCATATTTCCCAAGGGAGTGAGTAGCTTTAAGATTCACGAAGTTGGGGGCGCCTGGGTGGCGCAGTCGGTTAAGCGTCCGACTTCAGCCAGGTCACGATCTCACGGTCCGGGAGTTCGAGCCCCGCGTCAGGCTCTGGGCGGATGGCTCGGAGCCTGGAGCCTGTTTCCGATTCTGTGTCTCCCTCTCTCTCTGCCCCTCCCCCGTTCATGCTCTGTCTCTGTCTGTCCCATAAATAAATAAAAAACGTTGAAAAAAAAATTAAAAAAAAAAAAAAAAAGATTCACGAAGTTGGTTTGCATCTATCTTCTTTGAAAACATCGGCATGTGAATAGTCCCATTTGCTTGGGGAGGGAAAAGCCTTCCAAGGGGGACACTGAGTCCAAAGTGACCTAGAGACGATCCCATTCTAACATACTGTTAAGCCATCTTAGGGCAAGCCACCTGGTGTTTAGGGGCCTCAGTCCTAAAATGCGAGAGTGAGTTCAGAAGAGTTAGCTTAGTTTGCTCGTGCAATCGATTCACATTTGTCTGCATCACGGAAAAATACGCTCAGTGAAACCCAAGGCCTGTTTCCTTTGGTCCACCATTATTCTCCCCACACTTGGTCCACGGGAGGCACATGCCTACTGAACGAAGAATGAGCAAATGCTTAGTTGAGAGGATTTCTCTGAAGATCGGAAATGAAATGAGTCTAGGGAAACATTGGGCAAAAGACCAAAAACGCAACACTATGAAATCCAAAGATGCTCTCTCGGGAGCGGTGCGAATTTCCCAGCTGTAGGCGTGTCTTTTTAGGTCAAGCATGGTTGGGCCCGGCTCTCCACTGGCTCTCCCTTCTCTGATACTCTGCCTTGTTCAGCCTGCTCCAGTCCCACTGGCTTTCTGGCTGTTCCCGAAACCTCGTGCCATCCCAGGCCCTTGCACTCGCTGTTCTAGGTTTTTAGGACACTCCTCCCCCAGGATTCCACAAGGCTCACTGTCTCATGCTTGGATCTCACTGGCGATCCCTGCCACACTGTCCAGATTTTATACTGTGCATCTCCCACCTGGCCTGCTGCAAAGGGGCCTTGCGCTCACCCCAGATGACTGTGCATTAACAAACAGAGTTTTCAGGCATTTCAGGGACACTAACTCTGAACGGATGGTAATTCCTTGGAGACCCAGAACAGCAATGTGGTCCACGGTCAGGGTGAGGCTGTTTGTATTTCGGCTGGGGAGAGACTGGGAGGGGAAAGTTTTATTTTGAACCTAGCCAATTTAGTGCCTTTATACTTTCTCTAAACGCTGCTTAAAAATGGACGAATTATTTGTGTCTTTTGCCTTGCGGCTAAAGGCACTAGTGGAGACTTTGGCATTCTACATGGAAATCTCCTTCCCTAAACCTATGAGGGCAGTGGGTACACTTACAATGTTTCCATGTTACCCCGGGCAACAGCTTTGCTAAACTCTCTTCCCCTAGGTAAGGTGGGTCTCCTTTCCTCCAGCACCGAAGAGCACCTTCCTCTTTCTCATGAGCCCTCATGGCAACCTCCTCAAGGCTGGTAGAGCTGCTGTGACCTTCTTCTGGCCGATAGAGGCACCCTGCTCGGCTGTCCCCAAGAGAGAACCCGCACGACGTGCGCAGAGCACCCCAAGTCTCCCACTGCGGCCACCACTCTCTGGGCAGGTGGCTCCCAGCCAAGGACTGAGTGTGGCCGGGGGGTAGCTGGGCTCGACCGTCTTGACCCAACGGGCTCGTCCTCTGTGGACAATCCTGCACTAGAGCGCCTGTCTTCTCCGAGCTGTGTGCTGCCTTCCCAGGCTCCATTTAGCCCACGAGACTTCCACCTGCTTCCCTCTCGTTTTGCAGATGTCAAGCCCGTACCTACAGCCTTAACGGCTTTCGCTTCCTACTCCTGCCAGCTCTCCTCCTCCTCACCCCAGGCATTACCACCAGTAATCACGAGAAGAAAATTGAAACACCGCTAAAATCATATTAGAGCATTCCGATTTGATCTGAAATTACAGTTTTAACTTCTGAGCTTGACCAATTTGCTGAAGCACCGATTTAATAATCGGTCCTTTTATCTCCGACTTCGTCTCTCTGCATTAGCAAGCAGTTCTGTGATTAAAAATCAGCGTCTTAATGTAAGAGTTCTATGATTTACTGAACGTTTGCCCTAGCCAACATTTTATTATAGGCAAATGAGCTGTAGCATGTTAAGGTATGCACTTGAACGTCAAACTGGTGTAAGAATATTACTGCATAAAGTAGAAGTGAGACACTGGAGTAGTGATGGTGACAAATAACTCTGTGTTTACCCCAAACGTGGCATACTACACACTGTGCACTGAGGAAACGGGATCGGGTGGGTCCGTCCACCTGGCCTGATGTTTCAGATCAACGGGGGCACTTCAGGGTTATCTTCAAAGTCTGGATCTTCCTCACTTGGTATAATTTTGGGTTCAGATCGAACTCTTCGGGGCGTGGGGTTTTTCTCTCGAACTATGTTAGCCACATCAGGGAAGGAACGCTTGCTAGGATCTACTTCTAATTTCTCAATTCGCTTGCTTCTACAACAGAAAAAAAAAAAAGCAAAAGAGGAAATTGAAAATGTCCTTTAAAATGCGTAAACTCCTTTCATTCATTCATTCCTTCGGCCTTCCTTCATTCATTCAACAAAACATGCCTTAGGCAAAGTGATACTCTCCTTAAAGTATAGAATATGTGGCAAAACTTGTCAGGTTTCCATACTTCAGGAGTTGGGGATTGGGTTTGGAATCTATAGAAAATATATACTGATATTACGTACTTGTACCAAACGCTGAAAGTGAAAACTCTAATCTACAAAATATCTTTTTTCAAGATTTTTAAGTAATCCCTACACCCCATGTGGGGCTTGAACTTACAACCCTATGATCAAGCAATGCGTGCTCTACTAGCCAGCCAGGTGCCTTGCACCTGAGAATCCTTAAATGGTGCTACAGCAGGCAATCCCCGCAGCCAGGGTCAACAGTAGAATCCCTGTAGGCAGGTCTTATGTAGGCTCAATGTAGCTAATCAGCCTCCTGGTGATGCAGACAATCCAGCCTGTGTGCTTTTGCAGGGGCGTTTGTATAAATTCAGGTGCCTAGAAATCTCCGCCCACCAGTTTCCCCCACAAGATCCCACCCCTGCTGTCGGCACCCAGTTCTTTCGGCAATGGCTATGTGGAAACAGAACAAGAAAGATTCCCGTATTGCCGTCATTAGAAAATTCTAGATAATATGGGTCATTGGGCTGCCGCCCTGTCAATTTTGATCTGTAGGCCTGGGGATGGGGCCCAGTACTTTGCATTTATATAAAGCCCCCCCCCCCCCCCCCCCCCCCCCCCCCCCCCCCCCCCCCCCCCCACCTATCCCCCAGGGATACTGATAATTAGTCAAATTATTTTGGAATCACTGCCCTGGTCACCCGGCCAGGCATTCAACGGAATACATTAAGTGCCTCCCAGATTCTAGACACCAGAAATCCCATGGTCTGTGCAAATAGGACGTTTCCTGGTGACATCTAACAGTGCAGCAGAGAGCTCGAATAGAACATTTATCACATTATCATGTAATCGTCTCATTACTGATCTGTTCTCCCCATTAGAACCAGCATTCTTGAAGCAATTATATTGTCTTTTTCATCTTTGGCATATAGCATTTGTGAATACTTGTTAAATAACGAAAAAAAATACTCTACTATGGTGCAATCATGAAATTAAATCAGAAACTGTCTCTGACCCAAAGAGAATCACGGTCGGTCTCATCCGGGAGTCCCACACTGATGTCCTGAGACCAAATTTAGGCAACATACACAAGGTATTGGGAGGAGGGGGGGGTCCGACTTTCTCTGGGAAGTGTGAACCCTCTGTTGTTCTTACGGCCCATCCCCCCTCCTTTCTGTCAGCCACTTAGCCCTTGAAGGCACTTGAGGTTTCAATTCTTCTCAGAATTTTGACTAATGCACATGGACCCGCTGAAGGAAAGTATCATGTATACAAAGAGTATAAAGTGTAAATTTTCCGAAGACCCAGATAGTACACTGTAAACTCTGAAGGAAATTCTAGTTTTTGAAGACCTATATTACAGTCATTATTAAATATGGCTCTGCTTTTTAATTACTGTGCTCTTGTTTAAAAGGCTGCCATATCTATGGCTTAATCAAGTAAATAGCGAAACTCAACTGTTATAATTATGTTGACTTTGAGGAGAAGCAGCGTCTCTCCTCATGCCTGGAAGTCCAGGCATGTATCTCTCAGGCCATAATGTCTGGATCTTCGTAATAAAGAGTGAACTCAGCCCAGATGCAGTTCTCCGTGGCTCACCCACTTCAGATGTTGTGAGGAGTAATTTGCACGCAGGACTTGAATCGGTCATGAGTCTCTGGGTAATAAACAGTGAGCCCATAAGGCCAGAAGCCCCAAAGGATCACACTAATCCCAAAATAAAGAGGAGAGGGCCTTTTCTCCCCTACTGTTTCCTCCCTTAATGTCAGGCACCCGACGTGACTGTTTTACCCACCACCTGTCTGTCAGGGCCAGAACCTCTAGAGTCTAGTCAGAATGACTGGTTGGGCAAAATGAATATTTTCATCAACGGTGGAAGAAAGAAAAAAAAAAAAAAGACTATAATCACCAGGCATAACACATCAGAGATTGAGTCCTTCTACTAAAGAACACAAGGAAAGAACTTTCTTCTGGTAATATGGTGGGCTAGCATACATGGACCAAAGATTCCCACCTCCCACTGAAAACCCTCGGGAGATCAGGAAAGATGTGATAAGATGATAAGGAACCATGAGGGCAGGATTCAGTAAAAGGAGGGACCAGAGAGGAAGTGGGTCCCTGAAGCCACCTTTGGCCTGAGGGCATTTGCTGAGCCCCTAAAGTGGTGCTTTGGTCTTGCTGGCCTTGCGGAATCTGGGAACAGAGGTCAAGGTCCTGAGCATGCCAGGTGCACAGTGATGGGACGCCCTCTCCCCTAGAAGGCTTCGCTCTCACGTAAGAGTGAATGAACAGTAAACCCGCTGTGCCTGCCCCCGCAGGCACTGTGAGGGAAGTAGGACACAGAAGGGCTGGGCTGTCACCACAGCTGGGGTTTCCACGGGTTTATAGCGGCCACAGTTAAAACCCAGCCACCTTGAATTTAGCGTAAAGTGGTTCCGAACGGGCAGGGTCCTCAGGTAGCGTCTGCCCCAGAGCGCAGGCCAACGCTCCCCGGGTGAGCACTTTTCGGGCCTCTGAGAAGCCCCTAGACTATCTTCTAAGGCAATTCGGGCAGCTTGTAGGAAAAACGAACAAGCACTCAAGGAAAAAGGGCACTTAGCGTGAGAACCGGCAGAAGCAACAAGAACGCGAATAGAGATGAGAAACTTCAGATTTTGAATACGACAGCACGGATTATGAAACCAAGGAAATGCTTCAGACTTAATACTATAATGTTGAACTTTTCCTCTGGGATCGGCAAGAAGACAGAGACGGTTGCTGTCACCTCCCTCCCACTCCGTCCTGGTGCCTTTCCCTATGCACTAAGGCAGGAAAACAAAAGGAACAGGATTAGGGAGAAAGAAACTCCACATTCTCTGTAGGTAGACAGAAAATCCAAAACAACTAACAAATGAATAAAATAGTAAGAGAGATCAGCAAGGCTGCTGGGTACAAAATCAAACACAAAAGTGAGTTACGTGGTGGGGGTGATACAAATACTGTGAATATACTGAATCCCATTAAAAAGTTGTACATTGTTTTTAATTTTTTTTTTAACGTTTATTTATTTTTGAGACAGAGACAGAGCATGAACGGGGGAGGGGCAGAGAGAGAGGGAGACACAGAATGGGAAGCAGGCTCCAGGCTCTGAGCCATCAGCCCAGAGCCCGACGCGGGGCTCGAACTCACGGACCATGAGATCGTGACCTGAGCTGAAGTCAGACGCTTAACCGACTGAACCACCCAGGCGCCCCCAAAAAAAGTTGTACACTTTTTAATACTCGAGACGATGAATTTGATGCAATATGTATTTTACCACGGTAAAAAATTCATTGCAAATCTATATCCTAGCAACAAAAGCATAGTTATGATAGCATCAAAATATCACACACCTAAGAAAAGTAATACAGTATGTGTATATTAAAAAAAATTTTTTTAGTGTTTATTTGTGAGAGAGAGAGAGAGAAGAGAGAGGGAGGGAGGGGGAGCACAAGTGGGGGAGGGGCAGAGAGAGAGAGAGGGAAGACACAGAATCCGAAGCAGGCTCCAGGCTCTGAGCTGTCAGCACAGAGCCTGATATGGGGCTCGAACTCATGAACCGCAAGATCATGACCTGAGCTGAAGTCGGACGCTTAACCGACTGAGCCACCCGGGTGTCCCCAGTATGTGTATATTTTATTTTATTTATTTTTTTTTTTTAAATTTTTTTTTAATGTTTATTTTTGAGACAGAGAGAGACAGAGCATGAATGGGGGAGGGGCAGAGAGAGAGGGAGACACAGAATCGGAAGCAGGCTCCAGGCTCTGAGCCATCAGCCCAGAGCCTGACGCGGGGCTCGAACTCACGAACCGTGAGATCGTGACCTGAGCTGAAGTCGGATGCTCAACCGACTGAGCCACCCAGGCGCCCCGCCAGTATGTGTATATTTTAAATGAATTTAGACATAAACCTGCGGCCTTCACAAGAAGTAACTCAAAATGGATCACTGGCCTAAACACAAAAGGCAAGACTGCAAAACTCACAGAAGGGAGCACAGGAAAAGAGCTGACTGACCCTGGGGGCGGGCGATGCCGTTTTAGATACAGCAGCAAAGGCACGAGCCCTGAAAGAAGTCGTCGGCGAGCTGGATTTCGTTAAATTTACAAACTTCTGCTCCATGAAAGACAATTTTGGGAGAATGACAAGACAAGCCACAAACTGGGAGAAAACATCCGATGAACAGCTGTTATCCAAAACATACCAAAAAACCCTCTTCGAATGCAACGATAAGAAAGCCGTGTGATTGAAAGAAGGGCCAAGGATCTTCACAGACACGTCACCAGGGAAGATGTGCAGATGGCAAATACACGAACGGAAAGAGGCTCCAGACCATGTGTCGTCACGGAAATGCATTTGTCCAAGTCCAGGGAATGAATAACACCAACTTTGAACGCTAATGCCCACTATGAACGTTGGGTGATAACGACGTGTGTCAATGTAGATTTATCAGTTGTAATAAATGTGCCACCTTCATGGGGGGATGGGGATAATGGGGGAGACTGTGTATGAGTGGGGGCAGTGGATATATGGAAAATTCCTGTGCTTTTCGTTCAAGTTTTCTGTGACCCTAAAATTGCTTTAAAGAAGAAAGTCTACTAAAAAAAAAAAAAAGACCTCGTGAAGAGAGGAGGAAGATGAGCCAAAGAATGGGCCCAAATTTATCACTCTGGCTCTGCTTTATGATCTTGGGCAGATTAATTTCTTTGAGACTCAGTCCATTAGGAATAAGAGGATTTCTCTTGTGGTTATTTTGAAGATGAAAGATAGGTGATGGATAGTATCATGTAGCACAGAGGAGGCACTCGGCACTCAACAAACCCATCCCGAGTGAGGTATGTGTCCCTCCTTGATCATACATACAGTGTCACAGGACCACAAGAGTTCACGGCATCGGTGACCTGCCCCACAAAACACGATCTCCTCCGGTCCCAAGGAACGGAACCTTACTCCACTGATCTTCCCCTCCGGTCACTCTGTCTCCACAGCATGAGGAAAGGGCCGCTCTGGCTACGAAAGGATCGATGGGCCTCTTCTGGCCCTCCCGGCGTATCACTGTGCCTACCGTCTTCCCGTCCCTCAAACTGACAACCTGCCTGACCTCATTCCCACGTGCGGCCTTCTTAGTTCACGGGATCGCCCAGCCAGAGGCTGAGGTGGTGTGGATGGTCCAAGTCCGTCAATGACTAAGGAGCACGCAAACAACCTTCACACAGACATGTTAAGTGTGGCTGCAAGGTGATTACTTCTCAGTAACAAAAATGAAAACAGCTTTACGGGGCGCCTGGGTGGCTCAGTCGGTTAAGCGTCCGACTTCAGCTCAGGTCACGATCTCATGGTCCATGAGTTCGAGCCCCGCGTCGGGCTCTGTGCCGACAGCTCGGAGCCTGGAGCCTGTTTCAGATTCCGTGTCTCCCTCTCTCTCTGCCCCTCCCCCGCTCATGCTCTGTCTCTCTCTCTGTCTCAGGAATAAACATTAAAAAAAAATTCAAAAATGAAAACGGCTTTGCAAACAGACCGTAGGAAGTACTACCATAAAGAATTGTGCTAAGACATCTCTAGTCCTCAAATGTCATCACCGTAATGGGGATTTTCCCGGGGTCTAAAGACCAGCTTCCACACTGGCTGCCCCTCCCTGATCCTTCACAAACGGGAGTCACACTCCTTTCATGTGTGGATGCTGCTGGGGGGTAATTATGACCATGAATATTCATGCTAGCAGAATACCCTTGAACCTCTGTAAATTACACTAATCTGGGAAATAGGAGACCAACTGGTCTCCAAGGTTAAAACCAGCAACCCAGCTTTCAGAAGGAATTCAACTCCGTACCCGTCGTTCAAACAAAGCCCACGTTCGAAAGTCCGCAAAACTTCCACAGTTGACTCGGGATGTTGTGAATGCCTGACGGCTTCTATTATGCAAGACGTAAATATAGCTCTCGTTCAGGTATTTTTGTAATGATAATTTCAGCATAGACATTTGTATCACAAAGATAGTTTGCCTGGGTTCAAAATAGATTTTGCCATCTGGACGGTAACAGTCTGGAAATCACGACAAGTGGAAGGAAAGTCGAAAGGCCCGGGATTGTGCATTCGAAGGACGCACTGAAAGAACGAGAGCTTTGTCCCAAATGCTTGAAGGGATGCCACTGGTCACGGGTGCTGAGCTTCGTTCTGAGGGCATTCAGGAGGCACCGCCGGGATCTTCAGTTAGGAATGAGGAGAGGCTTCCTGTCACCGGGGGAGTACGGACAGCGGGAGGGGTCCTGGTGTGGAAGAAGCTGAACCAGAGGCTCGCAGATGATCTGGGGGTAGGAGGTGGGCGGGAGGGCACATGGTGGGGACTCTTGGTCCTGGCAACCCTGAGAGCTTTAGAAGCTATGAAGTGACATCCGAGCCATGAAAGGGTAGCGTGAGCAGCATTCGACGAGGGCTCAGCAGGGCTGTCCCAACGTGTCAAGACTACCTGACCTTCAGGCATTCTAATTTTTTTTAATGTTTACTTATTTTTCAGAGGGAGTGACAGAGCACGAGCAGGGGAGGGGCAGAGAGAGACAGGGAGGCACAGACTCCCAAGCAGGCTCCAGGCTCTAAGCTGGCAGCACAGAGCCTCACGCGGGGCTCGAACCCACGAACCGCGAGATCATGACCTGAAGCCGAAGTTGGACGTTTAACCGACTGAGCCAGTCAGGCGCCCCCAGACCTTCAGACATTCTAAACTTCTCTCCCTCATTTTGCCCATCTGTAAACCGAGGATAAAAATGGTGAGGATTAAGTGTGTTACTATGGGTGAAGTACACACGATACTGCCTGATACATAGTAAGTGCTCAGTAGATGTTAGCAGTCGTTGGTGTTGACCTCACCATTCTCACCATTATTGACACAAGAAATTGGGGCCTGTATGCCCACAGATTTGTTTTTTAGGGATCAAGAGCCCTATAAATCCAGAGTCTAAGTTTTGGGAATAGACATGAACATTCACAGCGTGAATCATCTGTAAATGCTAAATAACTGTATCTTTGAGGAAGGTGCATTCTAGCCACCAAATGACAATGAAGAGAACTATAAGGAAGCTTCCGATGGCTGGGGAGGTGGTACCTTTGGTTTGTGTGCTCTCTGCTGCTGTCCGAGGGACTCGTCCCAGACTCTGACGTTTGTCGCCAACCTGTGATGACTTCGTCTACCTAAAATAAAAATATAACACACACTGAGTGGTGCATTAGTCTTGGACATATCCTCAAAAATATACAACATTTTAAGTTTTGCTACGTACGCCATGAAAGAGTCTAACTGTAAGCCCCTGCATGCGGTATGAGAAAGTTATATCACAGACTGGATCTGTCTTGCAAAGCCACAAGCTATCCTTCATTTGCCAAAGGCCAAGCAGGGGGGATATGGTGAATTAATTCACATAACAGATATTTTCTGAGAGCCAGAAACCTGCCAAACACTGCTTGGGGTGGTGGGGATTTAGGCGTGGTTGAGACACTGCCTCTGAACAGCTCCCCTCCTCCACCTCCACCTGGCATGTGTTGCAGTGGAAAGCAGGCTGAGCTGGAGGTTCGAATCCCTCCCTTCCCAGCACACTGGACCCCCAGGTCATCCTTCATAAAATGAAGGGATGAGATATGAGCTCAAAGGCCCCTTTGGGTATGAAAAGTTCTGTAATTCTTCCACTTTTTTGTTTCAAGTTTATTTATTTATTGGGGGGGAGGGGCAGAGAGAGAGGGAGAGAGAGAATCCCAAGCAGACCTCACGCTGTCAGTGCAGAGCCCGAGGCGGGGCTAGAACTCGTGAACCTGTGAGATCGTGACCTGAGCTGAAATCAAGAGTCGGACGCTCGATCGACTGAGCCGCCCAGGCGCTCCTTCTTCCACTTCTTCTAAGCCAAATAAGCTCAGTGCTAAGCGTGTTGAGGTCTCAATAAATAAAACTGACTGATATGATTCAATGAAGATTATTCGCACCCAGCACCTCCTACTAGAAAGCTCAAAGATCTAAGACTATGGGGGCGGAAGAGAACAGGTGGCCACTTACTAGACCCCGACACCATGCTGGACACATGCCTGCCTATCCTAGGCAGTTCATGTGTTTTATTTCACCCCCACCTCCCAGTATAACTATAAGACAAGGATTATTTATAGGCAGAGAGAAGGAACTCTCCTCATGTTGTTTTGGTCTGCTGATCAGGATGGGGGCTTCTGCCTTTTCTCTCCTTTCTTTCTTCTTCGTCC